ACCCCTCCTATATTACACACACCCTAAGCCCTAGTGACCTCCCCAACCGTACTAACCCCTAAGACCCTCCCAAACACACTCCTCGAGCAACAAAGAGACAAGGATTTACAATCCTATGTACCAGGGAGCTAATCTCGTAGAGGCCTAAAAAAGCAGACCAGCAACACAAAAAGGGCAGGCCTTGCAACAAAGCAAAAAAACAGTCTGCAGAAATATACACATGAAGCAGCCATAAAAAATGACCTCCTGGATATCAAAATGGATTTTTTTACTCCTATAATATATTGTTCCTATATACAAGTAAAAAATTCTGATTGCTTGCAAGCATTTTTCCACATTGTTACTAACGATCAGCTACTATGCATCTCCAAGTGATGACTTCAAACTTACTGACATTTCATTATAACCCTAGCTAGTGAAACACAATAACATTAATTTTTTACCGTAAAACAAGGTTCTAGTTACAACAAAAACATCGTATAAAATAAAGGATTCTTACCTAACTTAAAACGTGGATTCCTGCATCAAGACTGTGGACGTTAATATCATTTACATTAGCTTCATTTGATTCTTGTGAACTCCCACCCTGTAATTAAATATAAATGTAACATCTTCATAACATTTAGTAAAAGAGTTGTAGACATTAATGATGCAGAAGTTACACTCACTTGGTTAAGCAATTTCTTCCATTTATGAACAATTTGCTCAACCTTTGATTGCTTTCTTTTGAATGGAGGTCGACCTTTAGAACGAACTGCCTGTGGAGTCATGATTTTATTGCTAACTTGTATAGAAGTGCAATCAACACTATTAGAGTTAATTTTGCTTTTAGATGCAACGTAAACACTTCTATCAATCCCCCCAACATTGTTATTCAATAATAATTTCTTCTTCATATCACTAATCATTTGCATCACCATATTACAATCATCAACACTGGTTGATGTCAAGTCTGCCACCTCATTGAATGAATTAGACTATTTGTCAAATTGTTCACCTTCAGCACTAGTGCTCCAACTATTATAACTTACCCTAACTTTTGTGTGGCATCTGAATACATTTTTCCTCCAACGCCTTAAAATGTACTGTTCTAGGATAAGAGAAATTTTGTTATGTATCAACACTGCAATTGCATGTCAACGTAAAATCCCTCTAAACTCAAACAATCGACAATTGCAACGAACCTCAGAACAACATTTCTCAGACCAAACCACAAACAGAACCCAATGGTACGTCTCTCCAACCATTACATCTTCCTTCACAACATATTCAATTTTGGACTCCATATCCTTCAAAGAATACATCTCACAGTGGAGCTTACCTATAAGCTCTTTTTGAAACTCTTAGAATTTTGCAGTAGTGTATACGTCTTGAAATTATTTCTTCATAGGATAAATGCTTATAAAAGGGATCCATGATTGATTTGAAATCAACTTCATTTTTTTTTTCGACTTTATCATGCAATGCATTCTCATATTGTTCTACAAATTGTTTTAATGTCATTTTCAAATTTACGTACCCATTGAAAAAGGCAAGCATACTTTCACTACGTTGCGTAGTAGACATTCCTACCCAGAAAGTATCTTTCACAAATGTCGGCACCCAATGATATCTTTCATTATACAACCCAAATAACCAATCATTGTCATGCAGGTTGTATTTTTCAATGAACTAATTCCACCCTTCTTCAAATTCCTCATATGTTAGCGAATCATACACTATATTTTGCAAAGTAAACTTTATATGTTCATATTCCTTATAACCTCTTAACTTTTTCGGCAAATATGCCACAAACACCATCTATGTTTTGTCTCCGAAAACACAATCTCGACTACATTTTGCATAGCCCTATCCTGATCTGTGATTATTGCCTTAGGAGAAGAATTTCCCATACATGCAAGCCACGATTCAAAAAGCCAAACAAAAGTTTTTGTGTCCTCGTGGGAGATTAACCCATAACCTAATAATGTGGACTAGCCGTGATGGTTAACACTGACAAACGCAACAAACAGCATATCATATTTCTTGTTTTAATACGTCATGTCGAATGTCACAATGTCGTTGAATTCCCTAAATGCGGCCCTACTTCTTGCATCCACCCATAGAATATTTTGCAATCGACCATCATTATCTAAATCCATAATGTAAAAGAAATTGAGATTATCTTTTTGCATTTTCAAAAAATATTTTTGTAACGCAAAAGCATCACCATCACCAAGTCAAATCTTCCTAACTTTTTCAATGTAGTTTCTACAATCCTTTTGTAAGAAACTTAAATTCTCAGTACCCCCGGCTTCAACTACCAAGGAGTCGAAATTCTTACTCAGTCTAATCCCCGCTCTATCATTCACTTCAATCTTTCTTTTTACATACGATTGTATAAATCTATTGCTCTTGAAAAATCATGTTTTGGTAGGACTTATGAGTTCATGGTTATGCTTAAAGATGATTGACACTACTTCCCATTTACCATCTGAATGTCGAGATGCAATACTACAAGCCTTACAACCACTTTTTATCAACGGATGCAATTTAAAGATATTTTTGGAGTTACTATCCCGCTTTCCACCACAACAACATGCAACGTTTGCATAAATCAACTCCCTATCATCTCCTTTCCTTGAAGATCTTATTGTAACTTCAAACCCCATTTTATTTCCATAGCTCCCGTAGTATTAGACAAATTTATCAAATGATTCAAAAAGCATTCGAAGCTCAGGCTTGCCTTCATCTTCCGTACTACTTTTATCCCCTATTATTGTGCATCATTACCCTACATTACACAAATTATAATAGCAAAAAATTAGTATGTAACATTCCCAAAAAAAAAGGTACAAATAATACCATTAAAGAAATTAAGATCATATTAATGCTTAAAACAAATAGATAGCAATTACAAGAATACCTCAACGACATTGATTTCTAGGGTATAGTTATCTACTTTTTTCTGGCTGCACTCTTCCATGTGTAAACCAGCTAGGATTGGTTGTGAGCACTGGCGGACCCAAGCCTGCCCTCAACTTTTCAAAAAAATTGTAAAGTTTTTTTTGGAAGATTAAAAAAATAATAATAAAAGGTTAAAAAATTGAAAAAGTTAGGTTTTATCTTTTCCTTATTAAAGTTCTTCCCCAGTTCCCAAGTCCCTTTTTACATGCGGCTGAAGCTCAACCCTAAATTTAAGAAAATCCCCCTTCTCAACTTGTCTCATTCACATCTCCTGAAGCCCTTGAAGGTTAGTATTTCTTTATTTAATGACATACTACTGCTTTTGAAGAATCTTATTAATGCCTTTTAGAGTATTGGGTTTGGTGCTTGGGTGAAAAGTTTTAGCAGTGGCGGACCTAGTTTTAGTGAGACAAATAATAAGTTAAAGAATTTTTTTCTATTATCTTTGACTTTGTTTTCCTGGCTCTTGTTTGTATGTGAGAAAGAAGATTGCCATTATCACTTTTAAAACTTCCTTTCTAAACCACACAATGTGCACCTGCTCTATATAAACGAATGGCTTCCATCTTATGTAATTAAATATTTAAATGTATTATATATGGTGTGTAATGTGTGTTAAATAGGTGTGTTAAATTTAAATATGTCTTATGTATCATGTATCATGAATTTAAATGTATCATGGTTTGTTCATGTATCTTATTCAAGAGAAAATTAAGTTGCTAAATTAATTAGGCTTTTATTTTTTTTATTTTTATTTTTTAATAGGAATCTCTGTCTCTTATTTTTAGGATCCCACTTTAGTACTAATTCATTATATGTTTATTGGAGTTGAAATCCAAAGCATTAACAAATAAGATTATGATATCCAATTATTTCAAGAGACTGAAGAAAAGTCCAGCAAAAAATGTTGATGGAGACTCTACTAATATTGAGGTTAATCAAACCCCATTAGAAGAAGAAACCCCATAACAGCAACAACAACACCAAGAAAAAAGAAGCTCAACGTTCAATCGGGGTTCAATTTATATGAGCTTGAAACTGACCCAGGATTAAGGATACCAATTCACGAGCTTTGTTGTACTAACAAACAAAAAGAGGAAGTTCGAAAAGCATACTTGTTGAAAGGTCCTTGCCAACCTAAAGATCATAACTTTCCTTTCACTCTTTTTGGAGAAAAAAAGCGTAGGTTTACATCAGAGTGGTACAAAGAAGGTATATGTTGGATGGAATATAGTGTGGCAAAAGATGCAATCTTCTGTTTGAATTGTTATCTTTTCAAACCTGATTATGGTGACCAAGCAGGTGGTGAAGTTTTTGTGAATAAGGGATATAATAACTAGAAAAATAAAGCAAAAGTGAAAAAACATGTTGGTGATCATTCTAGTACTCATAACCAATGTCATGCCAAGTGTGTTGATTTGATGAACCAAAGGCAACACATCGATGTAAATCTTGGTTGCGTGATGAAAAAGGGCAAATTGGATTATCGTATTCGCTTNTGAATTTAAATGTATCATGGTTTGTTCATGTATCTTATTCAAGAGAAAATTAAGTTGCTAAATTAATTAGTTTTTTTTTATTTTTTTTTATTTTGTAGGAATCTCTGTCTCTTATTTTTAGGATCCCACTTTAGTACTAATTCATTATATGTTTATTGGATTTGAAATCCAAAGCATTGACAAATAAGATTATGATATCCAATTATTTCAAGAGACTGAAGAAAAGTCCAACAGAAAATGTTGATGGAGACTCTACTAATATTGAGGTTAATCAAACCTCATTAGAAGAAGAAACCCCACAACAGCAACAACAACACCAAGAAAAAGAAACTCAACGTTCAATAGGGGTTCAATTTATATGAGCTTGAAACTGACCCAGGATTGAGGATACCAATTCACGAGCTTTGTTGTACTAACAAACAAAAAGAGGAAGTTCGAAGAGCATACTTGTTGAAAGGTCCTTGCCAACCTAAAGATCATAACTTTCATTTCACTCTTTTTGGAGTAAAAAAGCATAGGTTTACATCAGAGTGGTACAAAGAACATATATGTTAGATGGAATATAGTGTGGCAAAAGATGCAATCTTCTGTTTGAATTGTTATCTTTTCAAACCCGATTATGGTGACCAAACAGGTGGTGAAGTTTTTGTGAATAAGAGATATAATAATTGGAAAGATAAAGCAAAAGTCAAAAAACATGTTGGTGATCATTCTAGTACTCATAACCAATGTCATGCCAAGTGTGTTGATTTGATGAACCAAAGGCAACACATCGATGTAAATCTTGATTGCGTGTTGAAAAAGGGCAAATCGGATTATCGTATTCACTTGAATGCATCAATTGATTGCATTATATTTCTTTTACATCAGGGATTAGCATTTCGTGGTCATGACGAGTCGGTTGAATCTAAAGATCAAGGTAACTTTATGGAATTATTGAAGTTTCTATCCAATCACAATGACGACATAAAGAAAGTTGTGTTGGGAAATGCTTCGAAAAACCATCAAATGATGGCCCCCAAAATCTAGAGGCAACTAACTAGTGTTTGTGCTCATTTGACGACCAAGAAAATTATTGCAGAAATTGTGAGAGATAAACAACCATTTTCTTTACTAGTTGATGAATCTCGTGATGTGGCAATGAAAGAACAAATGACTATTGTTTTTCACTATGTGGACAAAATGGGTTGTGTTATCAAACTTTTTATTGGGATTGTGCATGTTAAGAATACTTCTGCAAAGTCTTTGAAAACTGCAATAGATGCCTTTTTTGTGAAGTATGGATTGAGTTTGACAAGTTTACGGGGCCAAGGTTATGATGGAGCAAGCAATATGAGGGGTGAGTTCAATGGTTTGAAGACTTTAATATTGAGAGAAAATAAATTTGCTTTCTACATTCATTGTTTCTCTCATCAACTCCAATTGGCGCTAGTCAAAGTTGTAAGTAAACATTCAGCATTGGGTGAATTTTTTCAAACTCTTTCTATGTTATCAAACACTGTGGCAGCATCTTGCAAGCGCAGAGATCTTCTACGTGACAATCAGTATGAATATGTGATATCTTTGATTTCTAATGGTGATATTCAGACGGGACGCGGTTTGAATCAAGAATGTACTATTAAACGACCAGGAGATACACGTTGGGGTTCACACATAGGGACAATTCATAGTGTCATAAACTTATTTTCTTCTGTTGTTGGTGTGCTCAGAGTGATTGAGATTGAAGGAGATGATTGGCAAAACAAAAGTCAAGCAAGGAGTTTATTACGAATCATGGAGAATTTTGAATTCGTCTTTTTGTTATTCTTGATGAAGAAAGTATTGGGAATCACATATGAACTGTCACAAGCATTACAAAGAAAAGATCAAGATCTCCTTAATGCCATGCAGTTTGTACAAATTTCGAAGCGTCGGTTGCATAAATTGAGAAATGAAGACACTTGCTTCGACATATTGTTGAAAGAAGCTTATGATCTGTGTAAAGATAATGACATACCAATCCCGGAGAACATGGAAGATAATTTTGGGAGGACAAAACGAGGGATTGCGCCAATTACGAATAAACATCATTTTAAGGTGGAATTGATGTACACAGTTTTAAATAACATTCAATAAGAACTCAATAATCATTTTGATGAAGTAAATATGGGGTTGCTTCAGTGTATGACATCTCTTGATCCAAGTAACTCTTTTGCTGCATTTAATAAAGACAGATTACTTGAGTTTGCAAAGTTCTATCCTGCCGATTTTCCTCAACAAGATATTTGGTTGCTTAATACTCAACTTGAAAACTATTATGAGGATGTTAGCACCAATGCCAATTTCACACATGTTGATGGGATTGCCGATCTTGCAAAAAAAATGGTTGAGTTTAAGAAGGACGTTGCTTACGACAAAGTTTTCTTGCTTATTAAATTAGCACTGGTTTTGCCTGTGGCTACTGCAACAATTGAAAGGGTGTTCTCTGCAATGAATCTTGTTAAGAATACTTTGCATAATCGAATGGGAGACAAGTGGATGAACAATTGCTTAGTAGTTTACATTGAAAAGGAAGTTTTTGCTACAATTCAAAATGAAGATATCATTGAACATTTTTAGAACATAATGAAGCGGAAAATCGTGTTAAATTGAAGATCTTCAGGTATACTATTCTAACTTGCTTTCATCTTTAAATAATCAATATTCATATTATTTAGATCTTTAGGTATACCATTCTACCTTGATTTTTGGGTTAATACGCAGAGGATGTGTGGATCTTTAATATAGACGGTTGAGTTAGAATGTTAACATCTGGATCTGGATTTGGAGTGATTGTAATCCATCTCTTTGTAAACCTTTGTGTGTCTTACTTTTGTTAGAGTTGTAATTGAGCTCTAAATTTGTGTAGAATATTTTTGGTGGATTTGTGATTGTTGTAAACTCTTTTGATTATATTGGATTTAAGTGGGTCGTTAAATTACCGTGGTTTTTTTTTATCTCTTCACATTGAAGAGGTTTTTCCACGCAAAAATTTTCTTGTGTTTCTTTGTGAATTATTTTCTTATGTTTTCATTACTTGATTGGCAAACAGTGGCGGAGCGACGGGGCCCCCCTGGGCAAAAATCCTGGGTCCGCCACTGGTTGTGAGGGCTTGCTTATTTAACAAGTCTGCAATAGAAAAAACTTTCATTAGAAAAAATGATAATAGACTATGACTTGAAGTACACTAGGTGCCAACCCCACAAATGTTCAAATTTATTCCCAATTCACAAACCAAAGCTTCCTAAATGGTCAAACAAGCAACTTCATCACGACCAACAACAGAAGTCTAAATCAGTATAAGTAAAGAAAATATATCACATTGGGCAATATAATATATCCTTCCTCTTACATGAATGTTGCAAATATTACACAATCGTCAGATTCCAAAAGTATGTATATATATTTAACCAAAAAATGATACAAGCAAAATACTCCTATTGGGTCCTAAAATGGGGGATGGATTAAAATAAAACAACCCACATACTCCATGGGACCAAGAACAACAGCCACACAACCAACACCCCAAACTGGTTTTGGATGACCTTAGACACTGTGGGAATAGGCTGTGATCGGAGATTGAGCTGGATTTTCAAAATTTAGAGGATTTTTTAGGAGAAATCTTTAGGGTTTCTTTGTTTTGGGAGATATGAAATTGATTTAGGGAGATTAATGTTTGAAATTTTGGGTGAAATTTTGCGTTTTTTGCAGAATTTTTTTTTTTTTAAAAATTTGGAGGGAAGTGACGTGGCAACTGAGGTGGCATATTACACGTAGAATGCCACATCATGAAGTAAAAAAAAAAAATGGTGTAAAGGTAGCATTATTAATGATTTAGTACTACAAGTCAATATGTGTATATTTATACAATATTAAATCTAATAATAACTACTAATCAATAATCATATTCCATGATTAACTAGATAATGTTTAAATCATAAAGTATGCAGTAAATGTGAAAAGGTATTTGATGTTTGATTTAAAGATAAATATCATCACAATTTCTATCCTACGCTTAATAGTAAAATTAGTGGGTGGTTGATGGTACATTTTTTATTTTTCTCAAAATCTGGCCATAGGGTTTTATACTTCTCCATTATCCTTGTTAAGGTTTCAATGTTAAACATTAAGCTCAATTCTTAGTAAAATAGGTAATAAAAATTTCTTATTTTCCTCTAATCAGATGACAGTAAAATTTCCTAGATAAGAACCACCCTTGGGTGGCTAGATGGGGCAATAGGGACTTTTGGCTGTATTATTCAAGAGGTCTTGAATTCGATTCCCCTCGATTACCAATAAGGCCACCAGAGGATTTATCCGGTCATTAACTTCAGGGCCCTGGAGAATTAGTCAAAGTGTGCACAAGCTGGCTCAGACACTCACAGTCACCAAAAAAAGAAAAAAATTCCGAGATAAGCAAAGTCTTTAGAGTAATTGTGTTTTGTGATGCTGAAAGCTTGAGAAACGTTGCTTGAATTGGAATGTAAGGTAAAGTTTAATCTGTTTATTCCAGATTTTTTAAACAATGAAAATATCCATACTCCCAACAGTTAGATCGACTAACAGTACACTGTTAATACTCTTCCACTATTAATACAATTAAGGCTAAAAAAAAAAGCTTTAATATTGCACTAAAATGGAGAGGGTGATGAGATTTCTATGTTTATCTTCTTATCAACTTCTTCTAATTCATATGTTGATAACAGGTCTTCTTGCTGCTTCTGGTGAAGATCAATCGGTGTGCATATTTCTGCTTATCATCTCTTCCTTCCCACGCTTTATAATTAATTGCTTGTACCATTTTTCTTCATCATTTATGTCCCGTGATTTTATGTGATGTTAAAATGTACAGAATTTGTATGTTGTTTACTTGGGAGATCAATTGGTGAACAAAGATTCACTGCACCTGGAGGATGATGATTTTATGATTGATCAATCACACATCCAAATCCTAGCATCCGTGAAGCTAAGGTACATTCATTTCATCATCCTCCTGAAAACATGCAAGCATAAACATATGCTTATGTTAAATAGTATTGACCCTAGGCTTTTTTCTTCTTCTTCGTATTGTTTACTGTAAAACAATAGTGAGTAAGCTTTTTAAATTAAATAGAAAAGATATGATTTGTATAAGACAAATTAATAAGGTTTTTAACTCTTAAATGTTTTGTTTTCATTATCGTTCATTACTTTTCGCTGCAGCCTGGAGCCCATATCCACTTACGATATTGCTGAGAATGAAGCAAAGGAGTCCATACTCTACAGCTATACAAAGAGTTTCAATGCATTTGCAGCAAAGCTATCAAAAGATGAAGTCGACAAATTGATGGGTAACTGAAATTCTTTGTTTCAACATGCCGGCCAATGTTTTATGACTTGCAGTTTTGGATCGAAATCAACTGAGCTAAATAATATTGTAACGTTTAGAGATGGACCGAGTACTTTCTGTGTACCCGAATCGGTATCACAAGTTACATACTACAAAATCATGGGACTTTATCGGGCTTCCGCAAACAGCAGGAAGGAATTTGGAAGTAGAGAGTAACATAATTGTTGGTCTCTTGGATTCAGGTTTCAGAAAATTTTGTTTTTTTTCTGTTTTGTTTTGATTAAATATTATAACAACTACCACACAAGATGATCAAGTTCTTAATCACTTGTATGATGGTTTGGCAGGAATCACTCCAGAGTCAGAAAGCTTTAAGGATACTGGGTTCGGTCCTCCACCCACAAAATGGAAAGGAAGTTGTAAACAATATGCTAATTTCTCAGGATGCAACAAGTAATGGGCCCATTGTTTTAGAAATAATTAATATACAATTAAATTTATAAAAAGTATTTTTTTTTCAAGATATAGTAATTCGCATATGTAGAAAATAATTACATATAAAGGAAAAAAAATAGAATATTTATAGCCTCTTACTCTATATCAAATATGCACATCAAAGTTGCAGAATTTAAAGTAATTCTATTTTTTGGGCACCCTATTTGGTTTATTAAAGCAAGCTTATTGGAGCGACATACTACAAAGTGGACCGCAGAGACGATCGAAACGACATCTTATCGCCGGTGGATGTGCAGGGCCATGGAACCCACACGTCATCAACTGCTGTAGGCAATCATATTGCAAATGCAAGCCTCTATGGTCTAGCCAACGGAACTGCACGCGGTGCAGTGCCAAATGCTAGAGTGGCGGCCTACAAAGTATGTTGGGTCAGCTTAGGTTGCTCTGATGTTGACATACTCGCTGGATTTAATGCCGCCATTCATGATGGTGTGGACGTTATATCAATATCAATTGGCGGTGGCAAAGCAGATTACTCCTCAGATTCAATTGCAATAGGCTCATTTCATGCCTTAAAGGAGGGAATTATTACTGTTGCATCAGCTGGTAATGGTGGCCCCGATTTGGCTAGTCTAGATAATCATGCCCCGTGGCTTGTCACCGTTGCAGCTAGTGGCATTAATAGGCAGTTTAGGAGCAAAGTTGATTTGGGCGATGGCAAGACTCTCTCAGTAAGTTTGTGTATTTGCGCATAAGTGAGCTAGCTACATGAATTATTATAATGTTTTTCAGATGACCTTATTTATGCTACTTCTTGTAATATACCGGTATTGTACATGTCTTTCAGGGAATTGGGGTTGACGCATTTGAACCAAAGCAGAAACTATACCCACTAGTTAATGGAGTTGATGTTGCCAAAAACGACACCGAAAAGTCGAGCGCAAGGTACCAGTTTGTCCTTCAAGGAGTTATAGAGCAGAATCTTTCTTTAATTTCCTTTTGGCCCATTATCAAAAGAGAAAAAGAAGGCATTAATAACAGTTAACAATGAATACAGGTTCTGTTTCGCTAACTCATTGGACCCTACAAAGGTGAAGGGAAAGCTTGTTTTCTGCCAGCAACTAATACGGGGTGCTGATTCTGTTGTTAAAGGGATTGGAGGGGTAGGCACAATAGTTGAAAGTGACCGATATCTTGATACCGCCCAGATTTTTATGGCACCAGGAACCATGGTCAACCGCAGCGACGGCAATATCATCACTAGTTATATTAATTCCACAAGGTGATAGATGAAGTTATCTTTTTAAATGACCCCTCTATTATGTTGCTAACAAAAATTTGTACCATAACTTTTAAATAATGCCCTCACTCATCTTTTACTCTGTTTTCTGAATGAAAACACATCAATTTAGTAAGAACTGCACTGTGAAATTTTCATGAGTAGGTAATTAGACAGGATGAATAATAATAAACGTTTCTTGTTCAATGCAGGGAACCTTTAGCAGTTATATACAAATCCAAGGAANCTATTATGTTGCTAACAAAAATTTGTACCATAACTTTTAAATAATGCCCTCACTCATCTTTTACTCTGTTTTCTGAATGAAAACACATCAATTTAGTAAGAACTGCACTGTGAAATTTTCATGAGTAGGTAATTAGACAGGATGAATAATAATAAACGTTTCTTGTTCAATGCAGGGAACCTTTAGCAGTTATATACAAATCCAAGGAAATAGAGATCCCTGCCCCGTTTATAGCTTCTTTTTCGTCCCGTGGTCCGAATCCTGGGTCAAAACGCATTCTGAAGGTGGGTTATACACATTACTTTTCTCTTGTTGTTCGGGACTAAATAACTTGAGTTCCTTCTTTTATTTAACGTGGGTTATACAGCCTGACATTGCAGCACCAGGTGTTGACATCTTGGCATCTTACACGCCGTTGAAGTCCCTAACTGGATTGGAAGGTGACACCCAATTTTCAAAATTCTCGATTATATCTGGGACTTCCATGGCTTGTCCTCATGTTGCCGGTGTAGCAGCCTACGTTAAGTCGTTTCATCCAAGTTGGAGCCCTTCAGCAATAAAATCGGCTATCTTGACCTCTGGTAGTAAATATATACGTTTCTCAATTCTTTTTTATTATCTTGAATGTGGATATCGGATGGATTTTTTATTTTTTTTAATGATTTAATGTCTAATCGAATTCTATTTTTTCTGCCTTGGGTTTTAAATGTTAGAACATTTTCGATTTGATCATGGCTTATGCTTTTATGTAATCTTTATCAAGCAACACCTATGAACCGGAGGATGGACCGCTTAGCTGAATTTTCGTATGGTGCCGGCCAAGTAAATCCACAAGAAGCTGTGAGCCCTGGCTTAATATACGATGCAGATCAAATGAGCTACATCCAATTTTTATGCCATGAGGGCTATACAGGATCATCTTTAGCTGTTATAGTTGGTTCAAAATCCGTAAATTGTTCTTCATTGATTCCTGGACTTGGCCATGATGCTCTTAACTATCCAACAATGCATGTACAATTGGATATTAACTATCCAACCACTGCAATATTCCAGAGGACAGTCACCAATGTGGGTGATCCTGTATCCATCTATAATGCCACGATTTTAGCTCCAAAAGGAGTGAACATCTCTGTTAAGCCCAAGAGTCTCTCCTTCTCTCGCAGCATGCAGAAACGGAGCTTTACAGTTGTGGTGAAGGCTTCACCAAAACCAATTCCAGAATCTATTGAAATGCTATCAGGTTTACTTGTATGGAAAAGCCCTCGACATGTTGTTAGGAGTCCTATTGTTCTTTATGAAGCACAATTTTACCAAGAATAGGATTCTCATCAAACACTACTAAAGATGTTAAAACATATATAATCAAGTCCAATGCTTTGGACCGATGTATTTATTTATGCTTATACACTTCTATATAAAATAATTGTTACTATCTAAAATTCACATAGATCTGATAAGCAATATGAAGACCAAATAACGAGTAGCAAGGCATGCTAGTAACTCTTATCGTGCGTGAAAACTGTTCCTTTCAGAAGCAAAACGACAATAATTAGCCTGATCTTTGTATAAAATTTTAAAATGTTTAAATCATAAAGTATGTAGTGATTTGATGTTTGATTTAAAGTTATATAAATAATCCTAAGAATTTGGATGGTGCAAGTTTTTATCATCACAATATCTAACCTATGCTTTACATTAGCTGGTGGTTGATAGTACATTTTTAATTTTTTTTCAAAATCTTGCCTTAGGGTTTACACTTCTAAACGTCAAGCTTAATTCCTAGTAAAATAGGTGAAATATAGATGGAACCCATGTCGGTAAATGAAACATAAAATGCACAATATCTATTAGAAATACGGGTCTATAGGTATACATATATGTATATAGTGTGCAATGGAAGGCAAGTTATGGCATGTATCGTCTAAGATTCCAATTATGCATCAGTTACAGTTCAAATTATTTCTTATTTTCCCATTAGATGATGGTAAAATTTCCTATATAAGCAAAGTCTTTAGAGTAACTGTGTTTTGTGATGCTGAAAGGTTGAGTACTATTGCTTGAATTGGAATGTAAGGTAAAGGGGGTCTCGATCAACGTAATGAGCTCTTTGTCTTCAAGCAACTCCTCAACTTGATAATTATCTTATAGCTAGGTTAATTTGTTTAAATTTCCCAGCTTTAATATAAGCGAGGACAACAACATAGAAAATGTCCCAATTCCCAACAGTTTGATTGATAAACAGTCTATCTACAGTCTCGCACTATTAATACAAGGACGACAGTACTCCTCAATTGTTCAAACCATTAAGGCTAATAAACAAGCTTTAATATTGGTGGTAACATGGAGAGGGTGATGAGATTTCTGTGTTTCTTTTCTTATCAACTTCTTCTATTTCATATGTTGATAATAGGTCTTCTTGCTGCTTCTGGTGAAGAGCAATCGGTGCGCATATTCTGCTTATTATCTCTCCCTTCCGTCGCTTTATATTCTTATATCTTCATCATCCATGTCCAGTAATTTTACATGATGTTAAATGTACAGAATTTGTATGTTGTCTACTTGGGAGATATGGTGAACAAAGATTCACTGCACCTGGAGGATGATGATTCTATGATTGATCAATCACATATCCAAATCCTCGCATCGGTGAAACTAAGGTACACTCATTCCATCATAACACATAAAATAAAGGAATAAAAAGAAGAAAACTAGTAACAAAACTGAGTTATTCGTTTTTAATAACACAGTGGTTGGGTAAATGGACTGTAATCTTCAATGCGGTTCTTTACTTGTGCTGCAGCCTCCGGCCCCTGTCCACTTCCGATGTTGTTGAAAATGAAGCGAAAGAGTCCATACACTACAGCTATACAAAGAGTTTCAACGCATTTGCAGCAAAGCTATCAACAGATGAAGTCGAAAAATTGATGGGTAAGTGAAACTCTCTATCTAAACAAACTGGTCAATGTTTTATGACTCGCAGTTTCTGATTGAAATTTACTTAGATATTGTAACGTTTAGAGATGGACCAAGTACTTTCTGTATACCAGAATCGGTATCACAAGTTACATACAACAAAATCATGGGACTTCATTGGGCTTCCGCTAACAGCAAAAAGGAATTTGAAAGTAGAGAGTAACATAATTGTTGGTCTCTTGGATACAGGTTTAATTTTAAATTTTATTTTATTTTATTATTATTGTATTATAATAACTTCCACCGAATATAATCAAGCTCTTGTCAAATAATTTGTCTGATGGTTTGGCAGGGATCACTCCGGAGTCAGAAAGCTTCAATGACACTGGATTCGGTCCTCCACCAACAAAATGGAAAGGAAGTTGTAAACACTATGCTAATTTCTCAGGATGCAACAAGTAATGGACCTCATTATTTTATAAAAAAAAAATTCATGGCTAGTTCTTTTTTCTGCCACATTTTCCTGAAATTGTGTAGGAGGAGGAGCCATTTAGTAGGATGAAATATTCCTATTTAGATATAATTAATGTACAATTCAATTTATAAAAAGGTTAGCTCTCGTTTTTAGGTCTTCTTCTATGGTAATAATCCGCGTTTCTTGAAACAAAATAGAAGTAACAACGACAATATTTTATACATTACTTGAAAAAGATTGCTTTTTTGCAAGATAATAATTATTTTTTATAATATATTTCATTTACATATTTAAACAATAGACACCCATCAAAGTTGCAGGATTTAACGTAATATATTTTTGGGTTTTATTAAAGCAAGCTTATCGGAGCAAGATACTACAAATTGGACCGCACACGTGATTCTAACGACATCTTATCGCCGGTAGATGTGGAAGGCCATGGAACCCACACATCATCAACTGCAGTAGGCAATCATATTGCAAATGCAAGCCTTTATGGTCTAGCCAAGGGAACCGCACGCGGTGCAGTGCCAAATGCTAGAGTGGCTGCATACAAAGTATGTTGGGTCGGCTCCGGTTGTTCTGATGTTGACATACTCGCCGGATTTAATGCTGCTATTCATGATGGAGTGGACGTTATATCAATATCCATCGGCGGTGCTAATGAAAATTACTCCTCGGATTCAATAGCAATAGGCTCATTTCATGCCTTAAAGTAGGGAATTATTACTGTGGCATCAGCTGGTAACGATGGGCCCAGTTTGGCTAGTCTTAATAATCATGCCCCGTGGCTTGTCACCGTTGCAGCTAGTGGCATTAATAGGCAATTTAGGAGCAAAGTTGAGTTGGGCAATGGCAAGAATGTCTCAGTAAGTTTGTGTATTTGCACAAAAGTGAGATAGATAGATGAATTATTAAAATGTTTTCAGATGACCTTATTTATGCTTCATGATGTAAATTTACCAGTATTATTGTTTTATATGCTTTTTAGGGAATTGGGTTCAGCGCATTTGAACCAAAGCAGAAATTATACCCACTAGTTAATGGAGCTGATGTTGCCAAAAACAACGGCGAAAAGGAGAGTGCAAGGTACTAGTTTGTCCATCAAGGAGTTATAGAGCAGAATTTTTCTTTAATTTCCATTGTTGTACTGCCTAATTATTGAAAGAGAAAAAGGGCGTTAACAACAGTTAACAATGAAAACAGGTTCTGTATTTCTGATTCATTGGACCCTAAAAAGGTGAAGGGAAAGCTTGTTTACTGCCAGCTAGAGATATGGGGTGTTGATTCTGTTGTTAAAGGGATTGGAGGGGTAGGCACTATAGTTGAAAGTGAGCGCTATCTTGATACCGCCCAGATTTTTATGGCACCAGGGACCATGGTCAATTACAGCGACGGCAAGATCATCACCAGTTATATTAATTCCACAAGGTGATAGATGAAGTTATCTGTTGTACTATAACTTTAAATAATGCCTTAACTCATGTTTTAACACACATCAATTTAATAATAACTGCATTGTGAAGTTTTCATGAGTATGGTAATTTGACAGAATGAATAACATTCAACTTTTCTTGTTCATTGCAGGAAACCTTTAGCAGTTATATACAAATCCCAGGAATTAGAAATCCCTGCTCCGTTTATAGCTTCTTTTTCGTCCCGTGGTCCGAATCCTGGGTCAAAACGCATTCTGAAGGTAGCTCTACAGAGTCATCTACACATTAATTTTTTTAGTGTTTGGGACTAAATAACTTGAGTTGCTTCTTTTCTTTAACGTGGGTTATACAGCCTGATATTGCAGCACCAGGTGTTTCCATCTTGGCATCTTACACGCCTTTGAAGTCACTAACTGGATTGGAAGGTGACACCCAATTTTCGAAATTCTCGATTATGTCTGGGACTTCCATGGCTTGTCCTCATGTTGCCGGTGTAGCAGCCTACGTTAAGTCGTTTCATCCGAGTTGGAGCCCAGCAGCAATAAAATCGGCTATATTGACCTCAGGTAGGAAATAGATAAGCTTCTCAATTCTTCCTGATTATCTTTGATATGGATATGGGTGAGATTTTTTTAATATTTTTTTTCTCAATTCTCATTGAATTCTAAATGTTCTGCCTTGGCTTTTAAAAGTTAAAACATTCTTGATTTTATCATGACTTACGTTTTCATGTAATTTTTTTACTAAGCAACACCTATGAGCCGGAGGATGGACCGCTTCGCTGAATTTTCGTATGGTACCGGCCAAGTGAACCCACATAAAGCTGCGAGCCCTGGCTTAATTTATGAAATAGATCAAATGGGTTACATCCAGTTTTTATGCCACGAGGGCTATACGGGATCATCTTTGGGTGTTTTAGTTGGTTCGAAATCCATAAATTGTTCCTCATTAGTTCCTGGATTTGGCTATGATGCTCTTAACTATCCAACAATGCAAGTTAAATTGAATGGTGACAAACGATCAACCACTGCGATTTTCCAGAGGACTGTCACCAATGTGGGTGCTCCTGTATCCATTTATAATGCCACGATTAAATCTCCAAGAGGAGTGGAAATCTCTGTTAAGCCCATGAGTCTCTCCTTCTCTCGCAGCATGGAGAAACAGAGCTTCACAGTTGTGGTGAAGGCAAACCCAATGCCAGCTTCTACACAACTGTTATCAGGTTCACTTGTATGGAAAAGCCCTCGACATGTTGTTAGGAGCCCTATTGTTCTTTATCAAGCACAAGAATCAGATTTTATCAAACACTACTAGAAGTATCTCGAGTCCAATGTACTTCACTAATGATTTATGCTTATACCCTTTTATGTTAAATAACTATTACCATCTAAAATTCACTTGGATCTTTTGTTGAGATGCAACATGTAAGCGTTATAATAGTAATATAAAAGAATAGAGTTTCTTCTTGTTGGTTTACAAGCTGGAGAATACATGGGTGGTTATTTTTAAAAAAAGTAAAATTAGGTGGTTATTACCATGCAGGATTATAAATTAACAAAAATATCCCTTAAGTTTTTTTATTTACTAAACGCCCCTATAATAAAATATTAAAAATTAATAAAAACACCCCCATCCACCCATTAAATACCGATAGTCGGTCACCACCGCCGGACGGTGGTCGGAGTCACCGTATTGACGCACGACTGTCAAGATCTGGCCGATAGTGTGCTGATATGGCTTTTTTTGGTCAGATCCACGGTGGATCTGGCCAGAAAATGCCGAATCTATGGCTAGATCTGGCCATTGACGGTCAGATCTAGCCGCATTTGGTTGTTAATGACGGTTAAAGATATGGCTGTTGTTGACGACTAGCTACGGCGAAAGATCTGGCTATAGATCTGGTATTTTTCGACCAGATCCACCGTGGATCTAGTCGAAAAGGCTAGATCGACATACTACCGACCAAATCCAGCCAGTAGTGCGCCATTATATCAAATTCTTGCCAACTTCCGGTGGTGGCCGGAATCTGGCAAATGTGGGTTGTTGGGGTGTTTTTGTCAATTTCTAAATTTTTTTTTAGAGAGTGTTTAGTAAAATTAACAAATCTAAGGGGTGTAAAAGGTATTGAATACAAATTTAGGGGGTTCAAAAAGAATTGAATAATATAGAATAATATTTTCAGAATAAGGAAATAAGTGTAGTATTTTGGATAGAATAGGGAATACAATAGTGAAAAATTGTGTAGAGAATGTTTGCTGTAATTGTTCATCTCTTTCTTCATTAACATAAGCAAAGTTTATATACAGACTCTTTACATCATCAATTACATCATGGATACTAACTCTTGCAGAGAATTAGTTACATTCCTAATCTGTAGAGTGTTTTCTAAACATTAAAGCAGAGTCATACATTCTTAACTAATACAAAATATGTCAGACTTTACATCCCTAAAAATCAGCTAAACTACCTGAAGTAGTTAACCAAACTCTGACACACAACTTCTAGATCAGCTCTGAACATCGACCTCTTTCAGGTCATAAACTGCATCAGATCGCATGCTTTCCAGCTTGCATCATTTTCAGGTCGCATCTGAACATGTCTATCTACTGCTCGCATCCATCTTGGCTTGCACACTTGATCGCAAGCATTCAGATCGCATTATCATACTTCCAATAAGATATTACTTGCTTTAACACTTCTAATCGCCAGTGGATTTGCAACACATGTACGGATAGTGATTGCACAGACAATTCAGTTCAACTTTCAATCTTCCATCTTATTCTATTCAGTTCAACTTCCGAATGGTGCTCTAAGATTTTATGACATTGACATGATTCATGTAAATACTAAATAGCGGTAGACAGCGCTTCAAATGAGAGACATTAGATATAACCCATTATTTAAAACCAGAAAGATTCGGTTTATTCAATTACATTGCCACCACTAAATTTAGGAGTCAAAAGACAACATGATTGCAACAAAATGAAAAATATAAACGAGGAAGAATGCACTTCTGATGTAACTTGGTGACTGAGTGATAAACCCTTTATCAATTTGAACTTTTATTACTTGCTTATTCTGTGAACATGATTATACTAGCACTGGGAAATTTGCAGACAGCCATTAAAGTATCGTCAACAATTAGTTTGAGTAGTAAGAGAACTCGGTTGTTTAAAAATTTCAATGCAACAATAATTAATAATGGGTAACCCACCAACTTCAGTACTTAACAATGGAGAGCTCCCCATCCTTGAAAAGCAAAGGCTCTCATGGGCCGCAATTTGCCCACCCACTTTGACAATATTGCTGTTGTATTGTTTTGGCTCCACCATTTAATTCCTTGCGCCATGCTTAAAAAATCCATTTTTTTTTCTTCTAAAAGTCGGTCCCTACCAACAGCCATGTGTAAACAGGTTCTTCTTTCTTTATTTCCAGGAGCTTCACACTACATACCATGATACCATCTTGTGGCTTTTTAATCACCAAGTCTGTCTTGGTCGGAAGAATTTCTGCATATGTTGAGGCAAAAGATTTATTATTTAGCTTGGCGTATACAGAAAGAGAAAGAATAGTACTTTATGGTTTTGTTTCTCTAAATAGTTTATGAATAATACTATAGACACTGATAATTTACACCGAATTTTTATATCGACATACATGGCATTCAGTCAGACGCGGTCATGTCAGAGACAACACACGTCTTCTGTGAATGAACAATCGTCTATCAAATATGGATGAGCGTCCATGATTGTTGGACGGCTAGCTGTTCATTTCAAATAGACTCCCGTCCATCAACCTCGTATCTATGGATGGGAGTCTGTTTCCTATGGATGGGCATCCACCTCGAATGGATGCCCATCCATTGACAAATAAAATTTTTTATTTGCCTCATACAGATACCAAGAGGCATCCATTTTCAATAATAATAATAATAATAACAGGTTTTTATTAGTCTCTGATATGGTCTCTTGTCAATAAAGAGTATTTCAAGATCAGGTCTCCAGTCAATAAAGAGTATTTCAAGATGAGCATTGAGCCATGGTAATAGTGTAATATAAAAGCAGAAATTGCATTGAATTGAGCAAGAGGACAAATAAAATGGAATTATTAATTGGTATTGCATAAACATTGGGTAGTAGAAATTTCATTTATTGTATATGACAGCCGTCCATTGTTTTGTTTTTAAAATTTTCTAAATGAGCATTCATCTTATATGGATGACTATCCATAGTAAATGGACACCCGTCCATATTACTGTCTATGTAATATGGACAAAAGTCCATTGATATTTTTATGGATTCTTGTCCATTCGTGATGAATGGTCGTCTATAATTGTTGGACGGCCGTTCATTCACGAAAGACGTGTTTTGTTTCTAATGTGATCGCGTCTCATTGAATGCCACGTCTTTTGGTGTCGGTAGCATTATTCATAGTTTGTTGGCTTATTGCGCATGTGTACTCAACTACACTTCCACTTCACTCTGTTGGCTCATCGCAGGCTTTAAAAGTTCCATGCGTCCAAATGAGTAGTGTAGACTAGGATGAAAATGATCTTATAATGGTCACTGAAAGTACGTTGTTTTCTGCCCAATACGTATATGAGCATTAGCTCCCTTTGAGACAAAGTAAACAGAGTTCATAATGGAAACCAAAAACTCAAGACTCAAGACCATTCATTCTCTCTCTGCCATTTCCACTCCTCCCATCCTCTCAGTCCACCCACTAGCATCTTGGGATATAATGCGCAGGCCCCCCCTGTTTTTCTTTTTCTTTTCAAATAATTTACTAACGCAATTTCAGTTTGAATTCTCTCTTTGACTTATATTAAATTTTTTATACTAAATTTTACGCAGATTCACTTTTCAACCTCGTCCCAAGTTAACCTAAACGTAATATAAATTTCCATTTTTTTAAGAGTAAACGACATATTCACACCCAAGGTTTGACGAAATCCCAAGTTAATACCTCAAGTTTCATTTATTCCAGATTCCCACCCTTAAAGTAACGGAAAATGATTAGATATAATGGCTCAGGGGTAAATTGGTCATTTCATAGAGGAGGTGCACATTAGCAGATCGCCACCCCTAACAAAGCTTCGGCGCACATTAGCCAACCTTACCGCCTACGTTTTTCACCCTTTTCTAGCGATTCTTCCACCCAAAATCACCCTTATCACCATCATTCGAACCCTCATCCTCCCCTCTACAAAACCTTACCCTTGACAACCCCTCATCACTCGCCGATCGCCAGCCACGACAGCTGCCACATGCGACTAGTTTTTGTCGATCTCCACCGGCGAATGGCCACTAAACGGTTGCTGCGACATAGGGGTTTTGTAGATTAGGAGATGCTGGTTGTAGTGGTGACGTTGAATTAGATTTTCGTCATCGGAATCGACCAGAATCCAGCGAAGAATGACGAAAACCTAAGCCTGACGGTGCCAGCGATTGAAGGGCCTAATGAGTCGGGAACCAGAGGGGATTTGGATGACGGACGATGGAGAAGTTGATGGAGGTGACCAGGGGTTTCGCCGCCATTGAAAATAGCCCAGATCCGGTGAAAACCGAGATGGTGCGCAGTCACTGAGGGTGTAATTGAAGTAATTTCAAAATAAGATGGTTAATTTTACAATTTTAGTAATTTTGGGGTTAAAACTAATTTATTAATATAGGGTTAAGAGCATTATGGCAATTGCACCAGCACTAGTGTTATTTTAAGAGTGGGAATTGAAATAAATGGAACTTGGGATTCCGTCAAACCTTGGGTGGGAATATGTCGTTTACTCTTTTTTTAATAATGTCAAAGATTCCTCATAATAGAATAATGCAAATGCACGAAATATGTATTATACATCGTTCATTATGGTAATGCCCCAACAGCCATCATTGAGCTGAATTCCCACCACAAACTACAAAATAAATTAAAAAAGAAAATGCTTGGTTTACCTCCACCGATTGATGGGGTTGACTAATAGAACGCAAACTACATGGCTTGAAAATCAAGATCAGATCCATTAGTCATTAGATGATGAAATGGTGGGAAAACTACAAAAAGGACTTGGAACTTATCAATGAAGTATTTAGTACAAAAAGGTTCTTAAATCACAAAGATGAACATATCTTCTAGTTTTACAAGCACAAAGAAAAAGGAAATGGATATAAAAATTATTTCCAGATGGGTTTGATCAGTATTACGTATCATTGAGGTGTTGTAACAAACAGAACGGGAGACAAGTCAGAAAAGTACTTTGGTTGTGAAATACAGAACTTCCAACTTTTTCATGCCACTAACATATATTAATAAACACTGCTTAGTCAATTTCCATTCAACTTTCTGGTACAACATTCAAACCACTTGTACAAGTTTTACACCTTATATTTAAGACCTACAAGAACCTTCCAAATCGCGTCCCAACTGTTCATATAATTGTGGT